AACTAATGTGTTGTTTGTGTCATAATATTCTGTGATTAGCCATGACTGTAATTTTGTATATCTGTCATTGGCCTGCCGGCCAGTCGTACAGTGTCAACTCGTAGCAGCCCTAGCTAGGCTAATAGCCTGTCCACAGAGACAAGTAGGCTAAGGCCTACTTTACTAAGTATGAGGGGTAGCGCTAGGATTTTCCCTACAGGGGATCCGAGATGTCTCCGACAAGAGCAAAGTGCGCATGTGTACTGTCGCACTTTGTAATACCTGTCTCACTTTGTAACAAAGTTGTCACACTTTGTAATAACATGTAGCACTTTGTAATAACTGTTGTCGCACTTTGTAACTATCAAGCTGTCGTACATTGCAATAACACCCTGTCATTCTTAGTAATAAACAGCTGTCGCACTTTTAACATTTAATTATGTTATAAATTTTAATGGATAATAAATAAAATATTGTGCAATGTTGCATATTATGGATGATTAACACTACAGTGTGAAGGTCACGTACAAGTTTTACTAATAATTTGAATTATAATGTTAAAAATGATGGCTTTACTTCGTTGTTGTAATCCCACGTTATTAACAAACGTGAGATTTTCTTTTCTTGTGCGCGTGCATGGTACTACAAGGTCAAGGGCATACAAGTTTTACCTATCTAATTAGAATTAGATTTCTAAAACTCAGTGGCTTACGCCGTTGTACGTTTTCTCAAATCAACGTATGTTGTGAGATTGTCTTTTGTTGTGCCTGAGCATGATACTACAAGGTCAAGGCCATATATACACATTTTACTATTAATTATAGAATTATAATATTTGAAGTTGTACGGTCCGTTGCTAATGTCAAAAAATAATAAAATAATAATTTTGAACTCAACTTGCTCATTTTGCAACAACATACACATTATTAGTTTGTGCATAGAAATTATTGAACTTAAAAAATGTGTACCCTGATTTTAAAACTAGAAAAGTATAATAAAAATAATAAAACTCTTCCACTGACTGGAAGTGTTTCTTTCATTTTTCGCTGTAAACTGTGTGTAAACATTTATAAATACACTAATTTCTATGTTCAAGTTGATAACCTAAGTTATGGACAAGTTAATTTCAAAAAATATTTTTATGATTTTTTTTTGCATGGTATTCAGCATGGAACAATACATGTTTAAACTCCGTGGTTTACTGCGTTGTTTGTAACTCCAAATGAACGTACAGTATGTTGTGATGGTTTCTTTCCTTTTCCTTTTTTTTTGTGCAAGTGCATGATATACTACAATCTCAAGGTCATATATACACGTTTTACTAATAATTAGGATTATAATTTTAAAGCTTGGTGGCTTATTGCGTTCATGAAATCTAAATCAGCGTATGATGTGATATTCCTCATTGTGCTCGTGCATGATACTACAGGTTACATATAAGTTTTACAAATATTTATAAAATTATACAGTAAATTCTAACTCAGTATAACGTTCTCAAATCGACGTATGTTGTGAGATTTTCTTTTGTTGCGCATGTAGTTGATACTACAAGATCAAGGTCATATACAACTGCTACTAAATTTACAAATAATATAATTAACAAAATAATAATAATAATAATAATAATAAAACAAACAAACAAACAATAAGTGAGATTTTAACCCCATACGTTCGATTATCTTTACACAAAAAACGTACCGCTCGGCTATATTTCACCTGATAACATAGTTATTATTATTATTATTATTATTATTATTATTATTATTATTATTATTATTATTATTGTAATTGCTGTCGCATATTGGTTTTTTTCTATTTTGCTGCCCTCTCTAAAGTGTTGGCAAGGTAACGGGCACTACGCTACTGCAGGAAAGGAATGTTCTAGAACCACCGAATGCAAGCTGCTAGAGAAATATTCGTAAACAAAGATTTCTGTTTAGAATAGTTTTTATAAACACTGTTGAAGGTTAGTTAAAGTTAACCATTTATGTGTTACGTATAATACTTGTTGATTAGTCCAGTATTGATGGAATAAGTTATGTTATATATGCTCCTAGGCCTGGTGTTTTCCCAGGTATGATATAGGCCTAGGGCCTATGCTGCTAGTTAACGATCATAATACACGAAAGGCCTAACTGCGTCGTATGCACGTTCAATTCAGTTGTAATACCATGATAACTATTTTCTAATTGCTCAAATTTATCTGCTGATAACATCATAACAGTCATTAAGACGTCGACTAGATGATAGAAGGATATTTGGTGATTCTATTGATTCATGTTATAATATTACCATAGGCGGATACGATGCTATGTATGTTGTTTAAATTAAGTAATCATCGTAAAATATGATCATCATTAAGTTGCGAGGAATCGCCACTGCGGTTGTGCGTCACGCTTGAGTGCGTACGGGTAGAGCTGCTACGGGTAAATAGCTTGTTGATACATTCACGTTTTACATGTATAACACTGACAGTTTATATGATTGTTTAATGGTTTTTATCTTTGTGGCTATATGATTGGTGAATGTTTTCTTTTGTGTTTTACTTAGCAGAACGAGTTCGCCAGGCTATGTACCCACACTAAGTTTACGTTTGTACACGGTATCAATATTCATAGGTTTGAGATGAATAAATGGCCACTACTTTCAGTAAACCTAAGGGTACGAAGATTTTGTTATCGGAGTGTTAGCACATGACACAAAACAACTTTAAGAGGCGCTAAAGCAGCGACCGCAACAGTAAACTTAGTAGCAGTAAACTTGAACATCTCTTCAGTACACTAAGAAGTCAATTCAGGGATGGCTCAAAACGGTGAACAAGGAGGAGAAACTGACAGTGTTCATAGCAGAGCGTCGATAAAAGACAATAACAGTATTCATAGCAAGGTTTCTACCAAAGACCGTGGTAGTGTAAATAGCAGAAGTTCTCGGCTGTCAAGAGTTTCAAAAGAAGAAATAAATGCAGCACAAGCTCATGCAGACTTGGCTATAGCAAGAGCCAAGAAGAAATTTGCAGAGCAGAGAATGGCTTTGGAAGCTAAAGACCTAGAAGTTCGGAGGAAGAAGGAGTCACTTGCAAATGAAGAAGAGATTGCTGTGGCTGAAGCAAAGTCTAGAATGTGGGAAGATCTTGCTAGTGAGTCTCATTCGAATTCGGACCAAGATGAGGTGCTTAGCAACCTGCCTGAAAAATCTTCAGACACCAAGGTGTCTAGGTTTTTTAACAGTACTGAGGTTAAGAATAATCCTACTATGCATAAAGAGAATGCTGGTGCAGATATTACCTGCTTAATTAATTCTTTTAGAATACCAAAGGTAGAGGTGCCTATATTCCGAGGTGATCCGCTAGAATTTCCCGCGTGGCTAAGTTCTTTTAACTCACTCATAGAAGCACGGGCCAATAGCCCGGATGAGAGGCTAAACTTGCTGATACAGCACTTAGGAGGAGAGCCAAAATCTATGGGGCTATCTTCTTTTACAGTCCAAGGAGGCTTACATGCAGGCAAAAAGTGAGTTAAAACAGAGGTATGGCAATAATGCTGTTATTGCCAAAGCATTTACAGACAAGCTGACATCTGTACCAAAGATAGATGGTAGAGATCCAGTGGCATTGAGACGGTTTTCTGATGCACTTAATGAAGTAGTGGTTGCAAAAAGAAGTATCAATGAGTTAAACATACTGAACTACCCACAGGAAAACGCAAAGCTGGTAGCAAAGTTGCCATACAATTTGCAGTCGAAGTGGAGGTCCATGCATGGACTCAGAAGAGGAGTTTCCAAGCTTGGAAAGGTTTTCGACATTTGTACAAAAGAAGGCAAAAGAAGCCAACAACCCAATATTTCAGTGTTTTTCTCAACCACAGAAAGTAATCACAGAAAAGTCACAAAAGAAACGCATCAATTTTTCAACTGCTGTAAGCAATAGCAAGCCAATTAATTGCCCCTATTGTGAAGGAAAACATAGCCTCGACGGTTGTGAAGCTTTTGAGGGTTTACATACCAAATACCTACCCCTGCTACAGCATCAATGTGGAAACATCTGGAAAGAATTACTGAGAAAATATCGCTCTTTCAGTCCGGCGCGCCGGTAGCTATCTTGTTAGGCAATGATGTGCCAAAGGCGATAAGACCATTGAGCATTGTTGCAGGAGATGATAACCAACCTTATGCGCAGGAGTCAATCTTGGGTTGGGGAATAATTGGAACGGTGTGCAAGCATAGCACAAGTGAAGGCACAGTGTGCCATAGAACGCTGACGGACGGAGTGATACCAAAGGTTGATCACTTGGTAGTACAAACAACTGTGAAAGAAAGAATCTGTCCTGAGCAAGTACAGGAAATGTTTAACAGAGATTTCACAGAACATGGGGATGACGAAAAGGGTTTATCTGTCGATGACAATAGATTCCTACAGAGTCTTAAAGATGGTATTGTCAGAAAACAAGATGGTCATTACGAAATGCCTTTACCACTGCGCTGTAAAGAAGTTAATCTACCAAACAACAGGTCTGTGGCACTGAAACGTCTGCATCAGCTTGGTAGAAGGTTCAAGAAGAATGAGAATTTCAAAAGGGATTACTGTGCCTTTATGGATGACGTTTTGGTCGAATGTGCTGAACCAGTACCCAAATGCAATGCAGAAGAGGGAAAAATAAATTACGTACCTCACACCGGCATTTATCATCCGAGGAAACCTGACAAAATTCGCGTTGTGTTTGATTGTTCGGCAAGGGCTAACGGAATATCGTTAAATGATTGTCTGTTACAGGGACCTGATTTGACAAATGACCTTCTGGGTGTATTGTGAAGATTTAGAAGGGAGAACATAGCCATCATGGGGGATGTGAAAAGTATGTTCCACCAGTTTAGAGTTTCGCCCAAACACAGGGACTTGCTAAGATTTCTATGGTGGAAAGATGGTGATCCCAGTAAAAGGGTAGAAGAGTACAGAATGAGTGTCCACCTGTTTGGTGCTGTAAGCTCGCCAGGATGTGCCAATTTTGGACTAAAACGTGCAGCAGACGACGACGACGGCTGCTCAGTTTGTTCGAGAAAACTTTTACGTAGATGATGGACTTAAATCTGTCCCCACAGAGCAAGAGGCTATAAAGTTGATTGATTCCACTACTAAGTTGTGTGCCAAGGCAGGTCTTACACTCCATAAATGGATTACTAACAGCAGGAAAGTGCTAGATTCTATACCAAAAGACATGAGAGCAAAGGATTGGAAGGAAATAAGTGTACGTGACCCACTACCTCTCGAGAGAGCACTTGGTATAGTTTGGTGTGTTCAGAATGACACATTTCGATTCCGAGTAGAGATGAAAGACGTCCCATTGACAAGGAGAGGCATACTGTCTACCATTTGCTCAATTTACGACCCTTTGGGTTTCGCTGCACCGGTGATACTGAGAGGAAAGGCCATCTTACAAGAACTTTGCAGGAAAGGTGTTGAATGGGATGACCCAGTTCCAGATGAGCTAAGGTCAAGATGGATCCTCTGGAGGTCCAGTATCAAGGAACTGGAAAGTTTAGAAGTTACTCGCTGCCTGAAACCTAGGAAGGAAGAGAAGATCAAAGCTCTGGAGCTGCATTATTTTTCCGACGCCAGCCAGACTGGTTATGGAGTGGCAGTTTACCTTCGGGTAGTGTACGAGAATATAGCACCACACGTAACATTCGTATTAGGCAAGGCCAGGGTAACACCCTTAAATAGAAAAATTACAATACCTTGACTGGAGCTGTCAGCAGCAGTGG